GACCCCGTGTACGACACCACAGAACCCGTCAGGTCCCGCTCCATCCCCTCAGTCTCTGGTCTGTTCAACCCTGTTGCTGTCACTGTTTTGATCCACTGCCTTGAGGATTGTGCTCTTTTTCACTGGCTGTCTAGTTGCCATGCGGGATGTCCTTCTTCAGGGATCGACCCCTCCTGATAACATAGTAAGTGAGCTGAAGCCTTGTCATCGCCTGTAGGGAGCACCCTGGATGCATCTCCTCCAAGACCCAGTTCATTCTTGCATAGCCTTGCTACGTGCCATGAAGTCGAAACTGACTCACACAGCACACACTCGGGCAGGTTTCTAGAAATCGTCGTTTGCACTGGGGGAGATTGTCCATCTTTCCCCTCCGAGCAGCTGGTGGTTATGAACCACCTGTCTCTGAGTTGGCAGCTCAGCTCCTTATCCACTAAACCACCAGAGCTCCCTGATCCTTTGGCAATCCATAGTTCTCTTCATCAACACCACAATCCAAAGGCATCCAGAGCTCTCCTTTGGTCTCCCTTGTTCCTTGTCCAACTTTCACACGCATATGACACAGCTGAAAAGGCCTGGGCTGGGCACTGCTTGGCCATTAAACCAACACCCCTGCGCTTTAGCATTTTAAAGAGCTCCGTGGCAGCATATTTTCCCACTGTAATGTATATCTCGCTTTCTTAACGGCTGCTTGTATAGGTGTTGACTGTGGATCCAAGTAAATGAAATCATGGACAGTGTCAATCCACCTCCAGGCGCCTCACAAGGGGTTCTGTAACGGTGGACTCTAGAGTTAAACTCCTTTTTTCCTGTCCTGAAACCACTCTATGGGACGGACCTCTCAGTGCCTCAGTCTATTCATCTGCAAAATGGGGGTTCATCACGGTAAAAATGACAGAAGGGTGGTGGCTGCTCGGGGGGGGGGGGATAAGGATCAAGGTCAAGGACAAAAGGCCAAGGTTGATTCCTCTGAGACCAAGTGAGGGCTGCCTCCACCCTCAGATCTTTTTACAAATTCTGACACCCACGGCCCCTGCCACGACACTCTTTGCTTCTTTACATGGCTAAACAAAAATGGCCACACAGAACTCACATTCCATGCTCCTGATTGTAGGTTTTATTGGGAGCTAACAGGTTATGTAATTCAGGATTGAAAAGTCATAGGATGCAATGTTTTTTGGTTTTCTTTAAATTATTTTTTTATTGTATTATTTTTTACATGTACCGTCAAATCAGATCTGACTGGTACAGGAGGAGATTGCCCCCTCCTTCTCCAGCAGAGCATCTGGTGGATTTGAACCACATACCTCTGGGATTACAGTGTAGCGTCTTGCCACTAGGCTACCAGAGCTCCCTGGATGAAATGTTTTGATCAGACAGCATCTCCTCAGATGTATCACAGGCTCAGCTGTGTCCCTCTGCCTTTGGCTTCTTGGTCTGTGCTCTACTCAGGCAAATATTGCAAAGCTCTTTGCCCAGGCTGTACCCACAGGCACCCCACTCTGCCCTGGGCACTCAGTTTTCTTGCTCCTTGGGCTTGGAGGCCCACTGCGCTGTTGTTGCTCTCTTAATTCTGTTGTCACTGTCACTCATTATTGTCACTGCGTCATCACCGGGATTGGGGAGGTTCACACAGGGACCTGGTGTCCAAATGCCTATGCATTTCTTTCAGCTAATGGGCTTCTCAGTGTTCATTAAGTGAGGCATGAGATGAAAATTAAAGCTATGTCCCTTAGCACAGAGGGTCCCTAAGTACATGACAATAAATAAGATTCTAAGTCCCTAAAGGACAGAACTTTAAAAGTGAGATGCTGTGCTGTTTACTGAGAGGTGTCAAGCCCCAGAGAGTCCTTAATGCGCTCCTCTAAGATGATATCCACAGCTGAGTAACAGTAACAGATCTAGAGGAACCTTCCAACATCACAATCTTCCACGGTAAATCTCTTCCCAGGTCAAAGGCACATGCTTTGTTTCCCCCACTGAACTTTCAAGACCGCAGATGCAGCCGTGTCTGCCCATTAACTCACCTGTGAAAACGAGAACATGGTTTAGAGGATGTTGATGGGGAAAGATTTAAAAACAGGTTTTTAAGATGCCTAAGCACTCCCCAGCTGGAACAGAGGCCCCTAAGCTCATGAGAATAAATAAGATGCAAAGCTCCTAAAAGGCAGAAATAGAAAAGTTAATTTAAAAAAAAAAAAAAAAGATCTGGGAATTGCAACTCTGAACATTCAACCCAGTCATCAGTGTGAAATTCTCATGAGAGCAGGTTCTAAGCACACAACCTTCAAAATAAATCCCCAATTGTGGGAATAAAAAAATACTTTGGAAGCCATCAGCCTGCCACAGACACAGAAGAGGTATTTAAACATAAATATTATTTCAGAAAAGTAACCCTTCCTACATTTTTTTTTTCAACGTAGACTTCCAGTTCTGTAGTGTCTGGGAGACAATTGCAAGTCTTTATATCAGAGAGATACAGTATTTTCTTTCCCTTTTTGCAGCACTTCAATTCCAGAAACTTAAAGTAGAACCAGAAGAGCAGGATCTCCTGATGGGGCAAATTGAAAGTTCTTCAGCCATTCAGCCTTGAACTTCAGAAACACGCTGTGAACTTTTTCAATAATCAAGAAAAGTTTTAGTTTCATTTACCAAATAATACTTTGGGGAAACAGAGACGTTTGATTGCGACTCAGATTTTGTTTTAGTTAAGAATATCTGAGGTGCAGGAAAAGCTAGCCAGTCTTAAAAACAGACACTGCTGCTAATCAGGGCAACACTGACTTAACTGTATAAAGGGTGAATCTCCTTTGTCTTTTTTAAAAAAAAATCTTTTCTTTATTTTCATGTACCGACAAATCAGATCCAGCTGGCACAGGAGGAGATGGCCCCTCCTCCTCTAGCAGAGCATCTGATGGATTTGAACAGTGTGACTTCAGGACTGCAGTGCAGCTTCTTTGTCACTAGGCCACCAGAGCTTCCTCTCCTTTGCCTCTTACCCTTAACTTTGGGATACTATTGTAGAGGTTAAGCTGATGAAGGCAAAAGCTATTTGCATTAAAAGAATGTAATCAGGGCAAAAGAATACCCTATCCTCAAGCCTGTAGGTTTTAAGACATAAAACCCATTGTTTTATGGAGGTATGTGTGTATGTACGTGCAAAACCTTGATTCTCCTGTTGCCACTATCTTTTGATAAAGATGTGGCTATAGAAACAGGGAAGGTCAGCAAACAAAAGAAACAGTAAAAAAAAACCCTCCTGGAGCCCAGTTAACATACTTTAGTGTTTATGTAATGAAATACTTCTCAATGAAAGCTATGAGGACACACAGGCCAGGAGGACACACAACCATGAATCTCTCTCCTCTTACCTCTTGACTACCTAAAGTCTTGAGTAGATTCTGTTGCCCAGCACCTTCCTTCCTGCAGGTCAGAGAAGTGCAACACGCTCTCATCCTGTTTTGTTTACCTTGCTTCCTCTCCTTGAGTTCCCTTCCTTGCCTTGGAGATCTCCAGCAAATACGCCCAAGTATATTTCTAAAGCCAAATGTGAAGCCTGTCACTGGACCTACTATCCCTTGTGGCCCTGAGGCTAAAGACCAATGAGGATGCCCCTTTTCACGAGAAGGCACTGGCCCAAAAGCTACTGTGTCCAACCCTGGAGGGTACTGACAGATTGATAATACACCTACAGATGAGAAATACCAGTTACTGGGAGAGACCTCCCCAGGCCCACTCCCGGTCCTGAGGAACGTGACCATCCCACTTCTCCTCCTCCTCCCTATGACCACAGCCTCTTGCTAAGAACTATCTAGGACTAGGGCTGGGAACCCCTCAGCATGCACCCATCACTACCCTGCCTGCTTCGCTGGCAGACATCACCAATCAATCTTCGATGCTCCGAGTGCCAGGCTTCAGCTATGTTAGCCTGGAATTGGCCAGCAGCCCTTCAGCTGAGGGCAGGGAGACCCAGGGAGGGGCGGCGGCCAAGCCAGGCTCAGCATTTTCTCCCCAGCAGCCTCTCTCACCATGGGGAGAGGCAGCCCGGGGTCGCCCCTGCAGTCCTCAACCCCACAGAGCATCCCAGGGAGCACTAGGGAGGATTGTCCTGGTCGTGAGAGGCGGCCAGGGGAGGCTCCAGGATTTTAGTTTAATCCCAAGCACGAGGGTCAGAGAGGGAAGGATTTGGTTTCGTTCCTTCAAATGCCCAAGCTGGCCGCGCGGGAGTGAGGGCGCGTGGCAGCCAGGCCACTACTAACAAAGGCGTCCTTTATTAAATAGCGATCGAGTCACATTCCACTCGGAGAAGTAAATGCAGACGTGGTGAGGGATGTGCCCAGGATGGGTCCCCTGTCTCTGAGCCCGATGGGCTGATAATGGGTGGTGGGCTCAGGTCCCCTCTTGCAATGCCTGGCTCCCCCAACCCTCACATCTGAATGATCACCCCAGGTGATAGATCCTGAGGCTTGCAGGGGCATCTGGTGGTGGTGGGAGGGGAGTCCCCCAGTGCCTCTTGGAAACAGAGGTCTAGGGAGGGTGGGATACGTGTCCTGACTCAAGAAACCACAAGAGGCCGCTCAGTCAATCACAATTGACATAGAAAGGAGATCCTGCCAACTGCTCCCAACCCTGCTGCCACCCTGTGGCCCTTGGGACAGCAGGGGACCTTAGAGAAAGGCTGGCCAGTCTGGGGCATTCAGGCCAAGGAGGCTGCCTGATGGCCACCAGGGGGTGCCGGGAGCCGGGATGGCCAGCAGGGTGTGGGAGCCGCAGGGACCAGGGAGTGCAGATGAGGAGCCCGTTGTGGAGCACGGTGGGGAAAAGAGAAAGTCGCCTCCCTGTGTCCTGGGACAAGATGCTTGGTGCCGGCTCTGCGCTGCCTCCATGGCCGTGGCGTCCATCTGTCCATCTTAGGGGCAGATGTTTGGTTCCTGGGTCAGAGCTGGCTCCAGGACCCTGTCATCCTGTCTGTCTGTCCGTCCATCCCAGGGCCACTCTCAGGCCTAAGTCTCCTGGGGGAAGAAGCCCAGCTTGGCCAGCGACATGTCCTTCCGCAGCCGCATCACCTCCCAGAACATGGGCTCCGCTGCGGGAAGAGAGTGGGACAGCTTGGGCTGGCACCCGGCCTCCCTGGGCTGCTGGGAGGGGCAGCCCCTGGGCAGACAGATGAGCTCTGGTTTGGAGACCCTCCAGCCTGGATCTGGAGAAGGGCTGAGGGCATTTCAGGGAAGGGTGGGTATGAGTGTGGGAGCACCTTGGGGGGCCCCAGGTCGGGCAAAGATCTGGGAGCAGGGGGCATCTGTGTACAGGGGACACCAAGTGGCCACATTTGGCAGAGGGAAAAGGAATGCCAAGCTAGTCAGGAGTGCTGTCCCCTGGGCCCTGGGAGCCGGGACAAGATTCTGGCAGGTGGACAATCTTCCGCCTAGCAGTGGAAGACCAGGGGGTAACTTTCCAGCCTGAGTTCTTGTAGGAGGCTGGGCACACCCAGGTGACCCTAATGCTTGTGTCCCCCCAGAATTCAGCACCCAGCTGCTCCACCAGTTCTTCATGTGCCCACAATAGTCCCCTTCAATATCCCTGGGAGGCCCCATTCAGGGGTCCTGGCCTTGGACAGGGACAGAATCCCTCAGCTAGACCCAGCCCCATCTCCCTCTCCTGGGTGCCATCCCTCTGCTGGCCACCAGGAGTCGCTCACCGTCCTGCCGCACCAGGCCCTGCTGGATGTATCGGATGTAGGTGAAGAAGTTGCACACAGCTGTGATCTAGGGACAGAAGGGAGGGGAGTGACAAGCCAGCTCTCAACCTCGGGGCACCCCAGCAAGCCAGGGCAGAGCTGAGGTTGGAGCAGGGAGCCCTATGTTCCCCTCAGAGCCAGAAAACATTCTTGATTTGGACAGGGCAGGTCTCTGCTGGTTTAATTAGCAATAGCAATACTACTGCTAGAAGCTCTGGTGGTAAGAAGCTGGGCTACAATCCCAAAGGCACCCAGTTCGAATCCAGCAGCTGGTCTGCAGGGGAAGGATGGGCAATCTCCTCTAGTGTGATTTACTGCCTCTGAAAACCCGCTGGAGGGTCAGCTAGGAGCCGGTTCTGACTCAAACAGGACACAACTACTACTAGCCAATTGCCACGGAGAGTCTTTCTAACCATGGCGGCTCCCGTGTGTCAGAGTAAAACTGTGCTTAGCAAGGTTTTAATGGCCAGTTTTTTATTTCCTGGCTTTTCTTCCGAGGCAACTCTAGTGAGCTTGAACCTCCAACATTTTGGCTAGCAGCATTAACTGTCTGCATTACCCAGGAACTCCTCCCTCCTAAGAGCAGAAGCAGCAGGTGATATCGAATCAGACAAAAGATGTCAAATGAGTAAGATGCGCTTATCATTTCTATTTTACACTCAAGGAAAACAGGCTCAGCATGATGGAACTAGGAAGTGACGCTCATTGGTAGAAAGGGCGCACTTGGAGGCCTTTCCGGGACCCCTTCCATCAGGCTGGGCCCCTGCCTCCCAGCTGCCAAGAGTTCTGGCCCATAAAGTTGCCAGCTGCTCCTCTCTGCATCCCCCCCGCCCCGCTTCTGGCCCCCCTCCAGTTCCCCCAACTCCCCATCCTTCCCTCACTCCCCTTCAGAGAGCTGCACTAATTCTCCATCCTGGGCGAGGCTGTCAGGTGTCCACACTGAACACCCCCTACTTTTCCAGGGGACACTCAGTACAGGGGCCACACAGCATGGGGACAGAAGCTACAGGGAGGGGCTGATGGTGGTTCTCAAACACACACAGGATGCCAAAGTGGGGGCAGAGCTGGTGGCCTTGGCACAGGTAGGGAGGTGGCAGAGCCAGGCAACACACCCAGCGTGGCCAGTACTCAAGGTGCCTCGTGGGGGCGTGGATCCGAGAGAGGCTGGTGGCAGCGGGGCCTGTGGGAGGTTCATGGGTGGGAATGGGAGGGGGGCATGGGGCTGTCCCTCCAGAGCTGTTCTCTGAGAAGACTTGAGTCCATCTGTTCATTCCACAGCCCCCCATCTGCCTCAGGACAGGGGACCCCTTCTGAAAACCTCAGACCTTTTCTTCTTTCCCATCCCCAGCTCTATCCAGCACAGACACCAATCCTGGCAACAAACCAGTGCTAAAGGCGGTGTTAGTTTACAAGAAGCCCAGGTGATGTCGTGTGTGTGTGTGTGTGTGTGTGTGTG